GAAAACAAGTTGCTGCTCCTCTAAAGGCGTTACAGGATGCTCAGAGGGCAGGTGCCAGGACACTCTGTGACCCGGTCGTTATTTTTGTTGTGGTGTCGTCAGCTCTGAAGGGTGGCTGCAAGCCTGTGTGGCGTTTTCAAGGTGCATGAGGCACGATGGCGACAATCGTGCCTTCAAAACGCTCGGGGCCTGGCATCAGTCATTTAGAGCCCATTCGTCCGTTCCCTCATTCAGGAATACCTCAGGGTGCATGTGGGTATCAGTAAAGTGTGCGTGTATAAATCACAATTCTCAGTACTCTGAAGATCCGTGTGCATGAGCTAGTTGACTCACCTATAAAGGAATGTTCCAAGCCCTAAAAGAAGATGATCTCCCGGGTCGGATGGGAACTGGGGGCTGGGATGTGAGTTTTAACTAGGACTTGGAAGGCAAGAAAGATATTTTATAGGAGATGTGATGTCGGACCAGGCTTGAAAGATGATGAACATGTTACGGCCAATGTGGGCAGGACCCGTGTTGCCGGTGAGGAACCTTCCAGTGCAGATGCACAGCCGGGTGAAGGTCTGAGTTATTGGAGGCGACAGCTGGACAGGCTGCTGGGCATCTGGGTTCCATTCATGCTTCTTCCATTAACTCGTTGCGTTCTGTTTAGCAAACCCACTGGGGCCTGCTTTGTCTTCCAGCTGACTTCCATGTTAAAACTCTTCCAAGCCACTTATTTTTCTCTTTTGAAGAATGTGCGTTCTCAGAGGGGTGGAGGCCACGGATTCATATTCGTTGCCGACTCTTCCAAAAATTGTTCTAGAGTTTCTACACACGTGGGTCGTGGAGTTACCACGACTGCCTTGGGCATCCTCACCTCCTACTAGGAAAGTGGTTGGTGAAGTGAAAGTCCGTTGTCACAGAGCTGTTAAGAGCCATCTGAGTGCAAAGCCAATACGTGCCATTCATTCACTCACTGGGCAGATCTGTGCGTCTGGTGCAGATCTTCCTGTCAAACCTTCCTACCTTCCAGTCAGTTTGGCCTGTGATATTGTAGGCTACTGCTTCTCGACGTCGGGTGGTGTGCACTTCGTTTTTTGTTTTGTTTTGTTTTGTTTTTTTCATCTTTATGGGTTGAGCTAATTGGGAAATGTCTGGGAAGCATTGTGGGATTAGCAAAGGTAAAGGGCCTGTGGTTACTTAACCCAAATGGGATAATTTCATGAGCATTTGCAATCCAGCTGAGTATTCAAGGTTCAGAGGGCCCGTGGCCACAGAGATTGGTTATTGTTCCACATTTTCACCCATAAACAGATATCTTAGGCATTTGCGGCAGCCAATATCCTGGTCTTTTATAGTGCACGGATTTGACCCTTATTAATAAACTGAAGAAGAGGGAGCCATTCAGAGATCTAGAATCTGGGGCCACCCTTCACCATTTCTCGTCTTCAGCTCAGATGTGTCTGCCCTCGGAGCCTGGAGACTCGGGTTTGTACCCTAGTTTCATCTTTAATACTCTCTGACCATTTAGATTGGTCCCCGCCTTCTGGGCTCAAGTTTCTCATCCTTTTATTGTCCTGGCTCTGTTTTATTGGTTCTGAGGTTTTTCTGCGTTACAATAGATGTGTGTGCTTCTTTGAATATTCTCATTGGGAAGTAAGTTCGGCTGTGACTCCCAGCAGAATCCCGACAGAGATACTGTATCCTTCTGTGTGCCACCTTTCGTGGACACGGAGTAACTCTAACTTCTAAAATGAGAGGTTAACAGGTTACTGTTGAGCTTAATTCTCTCTGCAGGTTGGGGGTGGGTATCCTTGTGTTCATTTCACAGAGGAAGACTCAGAATGTGGGCAATCTCTCCGTGACAGACAGGAAAGAGTAGAAGTAAGGACATGTGCTCTGTTAAATCAGCTCTCAAGAAATTCATCTGCCTGCCCTGGGCAGTAAGGGCAACGATGCCCTCTTGCACGGGGATCCAGGTTTTTAAGCATCACCTTTGATCGTGTCTCTTTAGAGAGGAATTTCACACAGCAGCGAGTGTAGGGGATGGTGCGTCCAGCGATAGCACTATGGTAAATACATACTTAGGAAGTAGGTCACAGTAGGGTGGACACCCCCAGGTCAGAACAAGGGGGCACGTGTAAACTCTGGGGCCTCCAGGGGGCCATCCTTCAGTCCTGTCATGTTTGTTGCTGCCTGGAATCAGAGCCCCAGGGGTGAGGGTGCTGGCCCCAGTGCCCACAGCTCGCTGGAAGCAAATAAGGGGCTGAGTCAGACCTGTCTTTCCTTTATGGTGGCAAAGCGAAAATCCTTGATGTCCCAGTGCCTAGAGAAGAAATACCAAGATGTCGGGGTGCCTGGGTGGCTCAGTTGGTTGAACATCCAACTCTTGATTTTTGGCTCAGGTCATGAGCTTATGGTTCCTGAGTTGGAGCCCCATATCGGCCTCCATGCTGACAGTGTGGAGCCTGCTTGGGATTCTCTGTCTCCCTCACTTCCCCTCATGCACACACCCTCTCTCTCAAAATAAATAAACAAACTTAAAAAAAAATAGAAATGCCAAGAGGTCAGAAGCTTCTGACACAAGGACTGTGCATTTCTGGTGTTGATTTTGGAGTTTGTGTTGGACATTTGCAAAAGAGCATGACCCTTTCTAGAAAGAACTAGAAAGAAGTATCCCATGTGAATGTGAAACCAGAATACTTCACCGGAGCACGCGTGGCAAAGCTAAATCCTTTTTAACTTTAGAGAGCAATTTCCTTCTGAGAAAGGAAACGTAAGTGACAGGGAGGAAGCTGGTCATCATCTGTCCCTGGCGTGTCTGAGAGCACCTGAGCCCCGTGCAGCCTCGCATCCCTGCGGGACTGTCAGGGGGGAGGATGACTCCTCATCTGATTGGCGAGGTGACTGGGTTGCACAGGAGCTAAGTGACCTTTCTCAAGGTCACTGCCGGCATGCCCATGGAGCTGGCCTGGAAATCCCACCATTTGACTCCAGAGCTCTTTCCCTATCCCTCACCTTGCTGAAGTCTCGGTGGACTTGTCCTTCTTAGCATGACCGGTGTCTCTGTCTGGGCAGCTCTGAGAAGGTCGCTCTCATTCTCAAGGACACTCTAAATGTTCTCATTGGTAGCCGATAGGAACTTTGTTTCCAGCCAGCTGTCAAACTTCTTGTGAAAGAGGAATAATGCCTTGTAGCCTTTCTCCCTGTTGTTTTGGTTTTTAACGTCTCGTTCTCAGAGTGTGAGTCTCTGGTTTTGTCACTCAACGTGTTTCTCCCTCCATGTGTCCAACAGCCATTGGGTTTCGCAGCAAAGTTTCTCTTTGTTGGTCTGCACAGTGGCCCGCATGGAGCAGCCCGCCCGTGTTTTGAGGGGGGCAGCGGTCTGGGACCTCACTGGGACCTTGCTGCTGGCAGCTCTCGCCATCCATGCTAATCAGCAGGACCTCCTCAATAGGTATTTCGATAGCACTAGAGCCTCTGCCTCTCCTGACATCATGGCACCTGTAAGAAAACAATGGGTTGAATTGGAAAGGCCTTTGAAACGTTGAACGATGGAGTCTGTGTCTGTGTTCGGACCCTTTATGCATTGGTCCTATGGGGGAAAAACACAGAGGAGGCTTTTGGAAGTCCTGTGTTACTAAGCTTCCCATCACCAGACCCCTCCTTTGCGCATGGCCTTTGATCTCTCAAGGATGTGCTTCTTACTGGTTGATTCTCTTGCAAGGGGTTGAAGGTGAAAGCCCTCGCCCCCCCCCCCCCCCCCCCCCCCCCCCCCCCGGGTTCCCAAGGAGACCGGCCTGTGAGCTGACTTCCTATGCATGAATTTCCGATCCTGGACTGTAACTGAATCCATGACCAACCCGTGAGAATATTCTTGGTGGCTCTGTGAGGGCCATCAGTCCAGGTTCCCAGAAACAGCTCTGAAGATGCCACCCCATGTTCTGTTAGGGCCTGATGGCAGTGTGCCTTGTCTCGCGGTGTTGAAGCCGCAGCACCTCAGATTCTTTGGCTTCTGTTTTATTTTGGTTTGGGTTCTAGATGCAGATTGTCTCTACCTGTCATTAGCTACCCGGTCTGGGAGGAGTCCTTTAATGCTTCTGAGCTGCGGATTCCTCAGAACAGAAGTAAGGTCTGCATCCCTGTTGGTGGTTGTGAGAGCTGAGTGTCGTGATCCAGAGGCGCACAGGGTGGGGCAGGGGCTCGCGATGGCCAGCAGCTCCTAAAGTCATGGATAACATGGTGCCACTATGGAAGAGCCGTTCCCAAGGCGCCGGAAGTGCATCGAGAATGGGCTCCGCCCCTTGGGCCGCCATTTCACAAGGAGTGAACCCTTGAGGGTCTAAGGGTTCAGATTTAAGCCACATTGCCCTCTCGGTTAATGACAGGCATTGCATCAGTGTTGCGGGGAGGGGGTGGGACCGGTGACCAGCAGGGCAAAAGCGCAAAGGGCGGGGTGGATGGCTCAGCAAGGCCAGGAGGTAGATGAGATGTCCGCAGGGGAAGGAGCGTTTGAGGCGCATGTGCTCCCTCGGCCCCACGCGGCCCCTGTGTTCCCAGCCTTTTGCTGCTGTCTCCTCCGTCCCTGGGACGTTTCTGCAGGACAGACCTGCAGTTTTGTTTTTGTTTTGAGGAAGTTAAACCCTTACCCTGATTGGGCTCACTCTGGACACACCCTTTGCATCCACAGTTTCGGCAGTAAAATCGGAGATGGGCTGATGGGGTCAGAGGGGCCCCCTGTGGGTGGGAGCCCTGAATTAGATAGAGGGCAGTGACCGTGCCGCTCTGCCCGGGCAGCCCGTTCTGGGAGGCCTCGGGTTTGAATTTGAGCCTCCAGGGGAAGGCCTCAGGCTGGGAGAAGGCCCCTTACTCCCACGGGGAAGCCGAGGCACTGGATTCTAGGCCCTGCTCCTGCCCTCCTTACTGAACTTAATCTTGAGAAGTTACATAAGCTCTTCTGTCCAGATTGCCTCATCTGCAGAGTGGAAGTAACAAGGAGACTTTCTCTGTAAAATTAAATGAATTAATGCGGGTGAACCCGGTGCTTGGAACCTGATCAGCCATCAGCAAGCAGTAGCTCCTGCCGTCCTCACATCCTGTGCACTTAGTGACAGGATGACACTGGGTGACACAGGGCCAGCTCGCTGACTCAGATGTGGGGAGCCCTTTAAGCTGCTGCAGCCTGGGGCTCCCACCGTGGTGCCTGCTTTGGCCAGCTTGATTTCTCTTCTCCCTTGGGACAAGGCTCCTTGCCACCCCCCTCCCCCAGCGCCCTGCTCCCCCGGTCGCAGTTCAGTGTTGACATTTCACCGCACAGAAATACCCCATGTGAATGGAGAAACATGCCTCTGTACATGTTTCTTCTTTGGTTAGAAGATTTTTATCTCTTGACGTCACAGGTTTGATTTCCTCTGCTTCGTGGAAGCTAATCAGTGCCTGCTTCTGCGGGAGGGAGGCCGGACCCTTTTTAGAAACCCCACAGCAGCCCTAGGGGCCCTCGTGTAACCATCTACCCGGGCACCCTACCCATGTGTCCTGTGGGGCCCAGGCCTTGTGTTGCCCTGACCTGCCAGTCTCTCTCTCTTTCAGTATCTAGCAAAGTATAGAGATCTGTCCTGCTTTCTTTCGTTAGTAGCGATTTACATTAAGTGGCAAGTTCACCGTATTTCAGGAAAATATCTTACCTTTTTGCTTCCCAGGAGACAGAGCTCCTGGAATTCACTTATTTATGTGGACCACTCTTATGTACTTCAGGCATGCCAACCCTTGGGGAAGGCTCACTCCCCCACTTCTCCCTGGATGGGTAAGCGATCCCCTCCCCACCACAGCACCCCTGCAGTCTCCCCTCCGCTCACATTGTACACGTGCATCCCTAGACCGTCCCTGTCTCTTCCTGGGCTGGGAGCTTCTTGGGGACTGAGGCTGCCTCGGTTTCCCTGCTGCCGGAACACGGTGGGCACTACGTGAACGAAGATCTCCTTTATTGAGCGCGTGCGTCTCAGATTGGATTCTCATGACGGAATGAGAGAAGAGAGAAGTGGGGGCGAGTACAGATCGTTGACCTCTAGATCATTCCCCAGATTGGGAGCCCCTGAAAGGCTCCGTCTTATCAGTCTCCCACGGAGACATCTTTGCAAAGAAAGCTCCTTTCAGCCTTCCGCCTCAAATGAGAAATTAACCCATTGTTGCCATTTGGATTTAATGATTTGTGCAGAAAGACATTTGAGACAGTGCGGTCAGTGTCTGTGGTCAGGTGTCGCGTTTATGAAAAGCTTCTCTAATCACAGTGAGAGGGGAGAGCATCCTCAGGGTTCCTCGCTTAGAAGTGGGCTAAAAGTCGGCATCCTTCAGTAGGATTTCTGGCTGAGCTGCTTACTGCTTGGGCTTAATCAGTTAGTTGACGGGCTGGACTGAGACCCTGGGAAGGTGAGGCCAGGGGCACAGCCGTAGGAGTTTTTACTGCCTCACTGAGCTGTTTGACCTTGGCCTACCTCCTCTGACATGGGTTGGAGATTGTGAACTTCCAGTGCCCAGCACGGTGCCGGGCGCACTGCAGAGCCTTAAGAGGATAGCGGTCATGACTGGTCTTGGTCATCAGCTGCTGGCTTTGGGCCTCACCACCCAACCACCCGGAGGTCCCTTTGTTTACTCAGCAACCCGTCACGGGCCAGGCACTGTTCTAGGTGCTGTGGAAACTGCCGTGGCAAACGAGACGGAAGGCTTTCCCTCGTGGGACTTACAGTTTAGTGAAATAATACCTAGATACACCATGTGCCAGGCCCTCTTCTAAATACAAGGGCAGTTAAGTGAACTGATTTAATCCGAATTAACTACTCTATGTATATTCACCAGCTTAAAACCAGTGAGGAGGGGCGCCTGGGTGGCTCAGTCAGTTGGGCCTCTGACTCTTGATTTTGACTCAGGTCATGATTTCAGGGTCATGGGATTGAGCCCCACATTGGGCTCTGCACTGAGCACGGAGCCTGCTTGAGATTCTCCCTCCTCCTCCTCCTCCTCCTCCTCCCCCTCTGCCCCTCTCCCCTGCTAGCTCGCAGGCTCTCACTGTCTCTCAAATTAAAAAAAAAGAAAAAAAAACAGTAAGGTAGTGCTATTATCCCCATTTTATGGATGAGGGAACTGAGGCTCAGGGTCCCACAGCTAATCAGCGGCAGGCCTGGGGATTTATACCCAGAATACGGGACTCCCGAGCTTAGGCTCTGGAAAGACCACACTGGCTGTTGGAAATGGACACCAGCTAAAATTCCGCCTCTTGTGTCTGATCCCCAGAAAGAATTTTCTCATGCAAATAGGCAACAAGTAAACACCAGCAGGGCCTGACCGGCCGGAGTCTAAGTGAAGCTCAGTGCTTGACCTTCTCTGAGCAGTCATGGGCCACTAGTTCATTAACCCCCTGGACAGTCCTGTGATGTCCCGTTCTGTTTCATGGAGTGGTTTTGTTTTCTGTACAGAACTGTGAAATGGGGTCTGTTTATCTTTCTGTCTTCCCTATCTAGCCCAGGACTGGCATTGTAAATACTTGGTGAATGTCTGACAGTTGTCTAAGTGGGTATGTGAATAGCCCCCTACGCCCAGGAGGCATAAATATTATAAGAAAAATCCCCTAGAGATATTGATGGCAGGAGGCAGTAGATGGAAACACATTTTAAATGTCCTTTATCCAGTACTCTTGGGAGTTTCTCTAAAGCATGAAATAGAGTCCAGCCTATTTGAAATTTCCTGGGACTGTAGAGAGTGCAGTTCTTAAGCAGAATCATGCCCGGATACTCTGAACTCCAGACAGCATGTTGGAGCTGGGGGCATCTGAGAGGTGGGAGTCGTGCTACTTTGCAAATATTGGTTAAGCATCTATTTTGTACCACATACAGCGCTAGGTGTTAGGGGTACAAGAATCGCTAAGGGGAGTTGTTGCCTGACGGAAGACAGAGTGTAATAGTTACTTTTCGTACCATGTTACAGGTTGCGGGTGGGCATTAGAGAGCTCTGTGGGAGCGGGAAGAGAATGTTCCAGCGGTATAGTAGGGTGTAGAGAATGAGCGTGTCAGGGAGGAGATAGGTTCCTTCTTGGGTTAGTCTGAGTGAAGTAGAGAGAAGGGGAGGGTGTTGGGAAGGCCAAGAGACACGAGTGAGCCTGTGCAGGGGGGGATGATGTACTGGTGGAGGGTGCTATATGGGGGTCAGAGATAAGACTAAAGAGGGAAGCACAGGTCTAGGGCCTGGGTGCATGCCCTCGTCCTTAAACTTGACCTGAAATCCAGGAAATGCTACTGAGGGGTTTTTCTAGACAGGACAGGATGGGGTCAGGTTGTGATTCTGGAAGCGTATGGGCAGAATGGACCTGGGATGGGTATTGACTGAGGCTGAACCAGGCCCCAAGCGGTGGGATCAAGGAGGAGTGGGTAAGAGGTAGAATTAACCCCAACCCTTGGATTTTTACAA